TTTTTTTCTATTTACTAAATGAACACTTATTTTTCCATGTTTATTAGCCAAGAGCCTTTATAGCTGGATCTGAAGTCAAAATGTCCCTTGAAGTAGTAATATCTTTAGGTTTGGTTGGTTGGATGTTTGCTATTTGACAAATCTGCACAAAATCCCTCTAGTGAGTCCTTTCTGTGTCTGGCCCTGGATGGTGGGTCCTTGAGTGCCAACCCCTCAGCTCAGGCTGTCATCTGCATCTTGATAGTGTAGATGTATTAAAATTTTTAATGAAAATCACAAAATAGTACTGAAATGAATTTTTATTAAGATAATGTCACTTCCCTCTCCAACTTATGAGAGGTGATTTTCCTAGTGTCCTCCTTAGTGGCCTTCACGCCAGACGTCTGCTCCTGGGAACCTTTATATTCTGTCATCTCTGTAGGTTGTGGTTTCAGGGCGAGCTCCTCACAGTGGTGGAGCTCAGAGCAGAGGGAGTAAGCCTAAAAGCAGGGCCAGGTGTACTCCTTGAAGGCCTGCTCTTACTGACTTAACTTTTGCCAGACTTAACCTCCTAAAGGTGCCACAGCCTTTAAAATAGCACTATAAGCTAACGACCAAGTGCTTAAAACATGAGCCACTGGGGGACGGTACAGATTTAAGCCTTAGGATTGCTCCTGGCTTCCCAAGGCTCATGACCATCTCTAATGTGAAATGTGCTCAGTCCCCATAATTGTATCAGTCCCTAAACTCTAGTTCAGGTCCCTTTGAGACTAATGTCTCTTAGCTGTGAACCCTGTATAATAAAAAAAGAAGTAAAATCTTTTCAGTGTGCAGTTGTTCAGAGTGAACACTCCCCTTCCAAAAGGGGACTAGGAGGAGAGGAAGGAGAGATTGGACCAAAGACTGAAACCCAGCAGGCCAAACAAATCTGGTAGCACCATGTGTGCAGCTGGAGCAGGTGCTGGCATCATCTGAGTTCCTTCTTATGGCCCTGCCATTTGCAGCACTCATAGGCTCTGTGGTGGGTATTTTATGTCAGCTTAACACAGACTGAAGTCATCAGAGAGGAGGGAGCCTCAGTTAAGAAAATGCCTTCATAAGATAAGCTGTATGCAAGCTTTTAGGCATTTTCTTAATTTGTGATTGATGGGGATGGGTCCAGCCCATTGTGGGTTGTGCCATCCCTGGGCTGGTGGCCCTGGGTTCTATAAGAAAGGAGACTGAACAAGCTGGAAAAACAAACCAGTAAGCAACACCCTTCCCTGGTCTCTGTATCAGCTCCTGACTCCAGGTTCCTGCCCTGTTTGAGTTCCTGTCTTAGGGTCTCTATTGATGTGAAGAGACACTATGATCATGGCAACTCTTATAAAGAAATTATGTAATTGGGGTGGTTCACTTACAGTTTCAGAGGTTCAGTCCATTATCATCATGACAGGGAAAATGGTGGCATGCAGGCAGACATGGTGCTGGAGGAGAAGCTGAGGGTCCTTCATCTTGCAGGCAAAAGGAAGTTAATGGAGACACTGGGCAGTATCTTCAACCCTGAAGATGGCACCATTAGCTGGGGACCCAGTGTTCAAGCCATGACAGGCTCTGGTTTCTGAGCCGTTGTCAGCCCACCTCATCACTGCAGAGCCTTCCTTACCGTCCTCCTTCCCCAGGCCCATCCGTTGGCTTTTCTTCCTCTTGTTGCCTTTGTGCCTGGCTTTCCTTGGTAAAATGAGAGCCCTCTCTGCACTACTGTGCCTGGGACGGTGCCGCTATTGCTGAGTGCGGGCAGCTCGGTGCCTTGGACATTTGTGTTAAACACTTAGCGAGGCTTCAGTGTTTATCTTTCACTGCCCACAGCAGTTTCATGGGGAGATAGATTATGTCACACATTTTTCTATGTGTGCTGTGCGTGCGTGCGTGTGTGTGCGCGTGCGTGTGTGTGTGCGCACACGTGCGCACACATATATGTGGAGGCTCAAGGTTGATGTCCAGAATTACCTATGATTGCTCTTCCATTTTAATCAATGAAGCAGTGTCTCTCAATCAGACCCGCGTGCCCTGATATGACCACTCACTAGACAACTTCTTATGGGGATGCAGTCTCCACTTTCCAAGGGTAGATACAGGCAGGCTGTCATGCCCATTTGACATATATATGGGTTCTGGAAATACAAACTCCAGTCTTAATGCTTTCAGAGTAAGCATTTAATCACTGAAGCATCTTTCCCACCCAAATCCACACATTTTAAAATCACTTGGGAATATTCTGCATTTGTTTCATGGCCTGTTTGTTTTGTTATGAGGTGGGTTCTTTCTCAGGCTGATCTCAGCTTGTGATCCTTATACCTGTCCCAGCCATGAGTGCTGGTATATTAGGTGGGTGCCACTATGCCTGGCTAGTAGCCTGTTTTTATGATTTTCCTTTGACCCTTATATTGCCAAAAGTAAAAGTAAAATCATTCAAGGATAAAGAGAGAAGAAAAACAAATCTGGGATAGAAATCCAGCCTCAGTGTCCACGGAAGATCGGTTCCAGCCCCAGAACACTGGAGTCCTGTGTATCTGTGATAATAGCACTGCTGTGTGGCAGTCTTAGTAGTAGCTGTCAACTTGACACAGCCTAGAAGCACATGAAAGAGTCAGCTGGGAGTTGTCTTTATTGGGCTAGACTCTGGGCGTGTCTGTGAAGATTGTCTTACTAATTGATGTAGAGGCCCAGCCCACCGTGGGTGGCCTTACCCGGACCAGTGATCCTAGGCTGTATAAGAAAGCTAACTAGTTATGAGCCAGAGAGTGAGCCAGCCCTCAGTGTTTTGTGGCTTTCTGGCTTCAAGTTTCTGCTTGAGATCTGCCCCTAACTTCTCTCTCTGTGACGACTTGTACCAGTCAGATGAATCCTGTTCTCTTGTAAGTTGCTTTTGGTCAGACTGTTTCATAACAGCAACAGTAGGAGCTAGATCAGTGCCTACACAGACATCCCATATATATATGAATTCCCATACACATACACACACACAGAGAAGGGAATCTATAGACCCCCTTACACAGTGCTATGTACATTGTTGAAGCCACACTGTGGATAAGAACAAGTCAGCGCACTCAGTGCTGATCCCTCTCCTTCATGGGAAAGTGTTCTACTTCTGACGCTGTCTGTCATGTTGCCATGTGATCCATACTGAAATACTTGAAAATTTTGCACATTACTTAGTACAGGGCTGTGTTTCTAAGTTCCTCACCTTGTAAGTAGTTGTGTGTGGAGAAGCGACGTGAGCTCTAGCCAGACTGTGGGGTCTCCTCATCGTGTCCATCTCCTCCTTCATTGCCCCTCTGACCATGCCGACGGACAGTGTTCATTTGCTGGAGGAGGTGACCCTTGCCTTAGTTACGCTTCTACCTGTCCTGAGACGTGGCAACCAAGGCAGCTTAGAGGAGAAAGGAGTTATTGTGGGTGACAGTTTAGAGGCTGATTCCATGACTGCCATGGCACCCAGCTGTTTGTAACTTCAGTTCCAGGGGATCCAGCACACTCTTCTGACCTCCACGGCACTGCGTGCATGTGGCACACATACATACACATCCACGTAAATCTTTTAAAAGTTGTACAAGGAGAGTTTAAGTTAAAATCAGTTACATACATTTTCCTTAAAGACCTTCAGGTCTGATTACAATCGAGATTTTCAATACTTCTCAATGACTATTTAAAGAACAAGTATAATCGACTGTTGTTACTGAAGTTCTCTGAGTAGAGACCTCTGAGGCCCAAGATCAGGGCAGCCCGTCTTGAGAGCAGGACCAGGCATGTCTGTGAGGCCTTCATTGCAGTGGCTTTTCATAAGGACACCCACAGCAAAGTGTGCCACACACCCAAAAAGCTGCGTTGTGAGGAATGGTGGTGTCTCACTTGTTGCCCTTCTTTTTCCTTTGAACCAAGGAAATAGTATTTGATTAACAAATTTTAATTTTCTTAGGTTGGAACTTCCGTTATTTTAGGTGTTTTAGGCTTACATGAAAACAGCAGCTGCCTGTTAGCAGGTGTGATGGCTTGGCAGACCCTGTGGGGTCAGTTCTCCTCTGAGCCTGTGTATCCAGAGCGCTGCCTCAAGTGGTGTGCGTGTGTGTGAGAGAGAGAATATTACCACATGTACATTTTCATTTTTAGAATGAATTAATTTGTGATGCCCTTCTTAAATCCTTTTTTTTGACCTGAAAAAGAATTTCAAAAAAAATCACTTTTTTTTTCTAATTAAAAGGCTTGTATTTTATTTAAAAACAAGAGGTAGGAAGTTGTTTACTGTTGTGAGTCCTCAGGTGTCAGTTCTTGCAGCTTCACATGGGCAGGGTTCTGACAGGACAGCAGTTTGTCTAAAGCTGGGCAATCCTGGGATACTAATGACAAATTTACTCCTCCTCCTTTAAAAAAAAAAGTTTGTTTTACTTTTTGAATAATGTATGTTGGGTGTGCACATTAGTGTACTGTCCTCGGAGGCCAAAAGGGGGCATCACATCCCCTGGGGCTGGAGTTACAGAAGGCTGTCAGCCCCCATGTCTTACCCTTCTGTGAAGCAGCTCTTACTGTTTGCAGACTAAGAACTTAAATCTTGGACGCAGCTCCACCATGTAATGTGGTCAGACCCAGTGTGGGCTCTTGCTTGGCTTGCATGACAGCCTATTTCTTGTCTCTGAGCTTCACTTTTCTCATCCTTACCGCTCAGGGGCTGTGTGACCAGTTACCACCCCAGAGTGAGGAGAAAACAATGGAGATGATGCTGACCGCAGGCTGACCCTTCCAGCCTCACCGCTTTAATGTGTTTAATGCTGGGTGTGCTGTAGTCTTGGGGAAAGCGGACCTTGTCCCTTGACTCAGAAGCCTGGGCACTGATGGCCTAGTTCTCCTGTTAGTCAGACTGACCCCTCTGCTCTGTTGAGGTTTTGCAGTCTGTTTTGTATATTTTTACTTTAAGGACAAAATACTTGTTAGCCTCCCTGGTTTTCTAGATACTCAAGTATTTAAATGCTGTCTTTCGTTTGTAGACATATGGAGCCTGGGTGTGATCCTTTTCATGCTGGTGTGTGGGCAGCCGCCCTTCCAAGAGGCCAACGACAGCGAGACACTGACCATGATCATGGACTGCAAGTACACTGTGCCGCCCCGTGTGTCTGCAGGGTGCAGGGAGTAAGTAAAGCATGGGCACGTAGCACGGATCCACACCTGACATGCCTTCAGCGTGCAGTGATTTGAGTTCATTTAATTTATGAGATTACTGTTCTGCCGTTATTGTTTGGGGCCACCCAGTAATATTTGATAAGAAATCAAACAGAAGAATGCCAAACAGTCTTTATTTCTTACACATATTTTCAAGAAATCCATTTTGCCTTTTCAGCCTCTAGAAGTGGTGGTTAAGACCTTTCCTGGCAGCTGCCTTTTTCTTCAGTGGCAAAAGCAAGACCATTTGGAACTGTTTGAGTTTCCAGAAAAGGGTTGGGCTGTCCTTGGCAGGAGCATGGCATTGCAGGGTTCCTCCTGTCTGTCTTAATAGCGTCTGTCTTGTATTCTCACGTCCTCCCGCAGCCGAGGAGAGCCTGTGCTGTGGTGTGCGCCGCTGTGGGAAGCCAGCACTGACTCGCTCTGGAGTTTTCAGGATTATGGTGCCATCGCCTGTGCAGTGAGAGGTGCAGTTGTGGAAAAGGGCTGTTTGAAATTAGGATATTTTTAAATACATGAGATTGTAGTTACCAGATAGAGTTTCTCCTGTCAGCTGTAAGAAAGCGATGGCAGACGGAGGGGTCTCTTCCAGGTGGAGTCCAGCTTGGGCATTCAACCCTGTGGACTCAAATCCTGGCTCTCCTGCTGGCTTCTCGTGTGAGCGTGGCACAGTGTCCTCACAGGTTACTGTGGGGTGACAGGAAGTGACGGTGTAGAGTGTGCAGTTTAGACGGGAGCATGTGTGTCGGTCGTGGTGATGGTAGATTGTAGCACATGGGAGGCTCTGTCTGTGTGTGTATGTGTTGGTGGTGATATTTGGTTGGAGGTATATTGATGTCTCTGGTGACTTTAGGTTGGAGCACACGTGAAGTTGTGTGTGTTGTGGTGGTAGTGTTGTGGTGGTATTGACTTTTGGCTGTCAAAAATGGGGGGCTGTATGTGTAGGTGATTTTGTACTATAGGACAAGGGAAGCTCTGTGTGTGTGTGTGTAGTAGTTTTAGGTTCTTGATCTTACTATTCCCCCTAGGAAGCAGGTGTACACCAAGTGCAGGTTAAAAAACAAAAACAAGTCTCATTTTACATCATTTGAAAGCCTGCAGGTTATAGAATCAACAGAATCAACATGGATGCTTCTTTTCCCAAGATCTGAGATGTTGCCTCCATGTCTCCCTCCTAGGAGGATTGTTTTTAATAACTATAAGAGTGTTCAAATAAGAAACAAAACATTGGGTGGTGGCCAAAGTGGCACGTGCCTTTAATCCCTGTACTTCAGAGCAGAGGCTGGTGGATTTCTGTGAGTTCCAGGACAGCCAAGGCTATACAGAGAGATTCTGTCCAAAACAAAAAAACAACCAACTTTTTCTGGTGTGTTACTAAGTGGTGACCGTTTCACCTAACTCTTCAGTGCAATGCCTTTACTGACTGGGTGCTACAGCTCCAAGTGTACGCCCTCCGCCCTCCTGTTCATCAGTCTGAAGCTGTCGCTGCCTCTTCCTGACGCACTCTGCCTGTCCTCATGCTGCTGCTGATTCTGTTATTCAGAACCATAGCTATTCAGCTCACAGAATTTCTTTTACGATTAATTTGCTTCTGGGACAGGTTAGCTTCATCATACTGGATTTGATCAATACCTCTGTTACTCGGCTCAGTCTCCTCGCTTTCGTTGTCTTATTTGATGCCCGCCTTGTTCACGGGTAAAAGGTTTTACTTCTAGTTAGTGCTGCTTTTGATATCTAAGTGACATTATAGTCAAAGAATACAGTCTGGCTGGCCCGTGTTTTCACATTTTTGAGGCCTGTTTATCAAGAACAAGCCTGTAACAATTATCTTCATGACACACATAGAGTTGTATTTTCAACTGGGGTCAGAGGTCTCTATTACATCTTTAAGGTCAAGCTCAGTAATTATATTTTTAAATGTTGTTTGCATCCAGAATTTTCTTCACCTACTGAGATAATCTCCGACCATGATGATAGCTTTATTTTATTCCTTGAAGCAAAAATTAATAAATCTTAAGAGTTCTGAGAGTTCTGAGGTAAAGTTATTAGTTGCAGGTAAGTTGAAAACTATCATCTTCCCTTTGTATCAGTCTTCATCAGAGAGTAATGCTTCTTGTCTAGTTCTGTGTCGTATTTCCGGGGCCCCTGCACCTGTCTTTGGGTCAGCGTCTGTGTGACAGTTTTCCTCACCTTTTGAACAGTCTGGACCTAGGACTGCAGTTTGTCTTTTCAGCTGTGTGCTTGTTCCCTTGCGCTTGGAGTCAGTGGGGGATGTAGGTGTGGGCTATCTCTGTACACTTCTTCTCTGACTTTGTCATTTATCTCATGTTTCAACTAGCTGGGAAGTTGTTGGCTATTATTTTAGTTTTCAAAAATCCACAGCTAATACTTCTCTCTATTGTCTTCTAAAACATTGTAAAATCCTAATGTTTTAACTGATACTTTATGTAGATCTTCTTTGCTAACTCCTTTCCTGGCTGGAATTACATTTTTCCACCAAATCTGCGCCCCTCACATTTCCTTCTGCTGGTGGTTAGTGCTTCTTAGGAGGTCTTCACGCTGTGTGCCCATGAAGGTCGCCCCGGTGAGGCAGTCCTGGCCCCGTTCTTCCTTCTCTGCTCCTCAACCTCGGCTGTCCGCCTGTCTGCTTTGCTTGGAGTTTCCATGTTTAGACTGTGTTAGGCTCCCTGGCTTATGATTTACATTTTTTCATGAATTTGGAAAATTCTTAGCTACTATCTTCCCAAACAGGCTTTCTTCCTGTTTTTTTTTTTTTTTAATATTTATTTATTTATTATGTATACAATATTCTGTCTGTATGCCTGAAGGCCAGAAGAGGGCGCCAGACCTCTTTACAGATGGTTGTGAGCCACCACGTGGTTGCTGGGAATTGAACTCAGGACCTTTGGAAGAGCAAGCAATGCTCTTAACCACTGAGCCATCTCTCCAGCCCCCTCTTCCTGTTTTTTTCATGTCCTCTTGGAACTCTGATTCATACCTGATAGCTCTTCCCACTCGGTCTTGTCTTTCATTCTTGGTATTTTCTCTCGGCCTGCAAACGAAAGTGTCTCCTTGACTTTGTAGTTCATTCCATGGGTTCTCTTACCTGCAAACGAAAGTGTCTCCTTGACTTTGTAGTTCATTCCATGGGTTCTCTTACCGTTTCTTAAACATGTCCATTGTTTGCTCTTTCAATTACAGGGGTTCTTCAGTTTTTGAAGCCCCTTTTTATTTTTTTTTCTCAAGATTGCCGAGTTTTGTTTACATCTGAAGCACATTTGACAGTGAAAGTCTGCGCTGCATGTCTAGCATTTACAGTGTCCGCGTTGGTTTGCTGTTGAGGTCTTGCTGATGGCTCCTTATTTCTTTTGTGGGTTTGATCTATGCTAGTTTTTGAAACACTGTTCAGAAATTCTTTTAATTTTCCAGAGCCAGCGCTGGGCTCACAGGCTCCCTTCTCACCCTCTTCTGGATAGTGATTTCTTTCTCATTTCTCACTGGTCACTGAGATGGAGTCTTCTTGCTTTCCATGACCGACTGTCACCTGCCCGTTGCCTTCAGTAACACGAACCCTGTGTAGCCTTCCAAACAAAGCAGGAACAGTTGGAGCTACAGCTCTTTGTCCCCATGGTTTCTGTTATCAAATATTCCTTGTTAACTTTTGTCACTGTATTTCTAAACAGTCCTCACACGGCACAGTATCTGACCACAGGAGCTGTTCCTCACAGGACACCAGCAGGCTGAGGTTGTTAGGCTGACTCTCCAGTTATCTGACCATAGGAGCTGTTTTCACCAGGACACCAGGAGGCTGAGGTCGTTTTGCTTTACAAATACGGTGGCACCAGATGCTCATTTGTCAGTGAACCGGAAATGGCTGTGACTGAGGAACAGTGCTTGTTGGTGACGTCCATCATTACTAGTCCTTGCACACAGTTTGCTTCAGTAACGGGCTTCCTTCCTTCGCAGCCTGATCACACGGATGCTGCAGAGAGACCCGAAAAGGAGAGCCTCTCTGGAAGAGATTGAGAGCCACCCTTGGCTCCAGGGAGTGGACCCCTCACCAGCCACCAAGTACAACATCCCCCTTGTGTCCTACAAGAACCTCTCGGAAGAGGAGCACAACAGCATCATCCAGCGCATGGTGCTCGGGGACATCGCAGACCGGGATGCCATCGTAGAGTACGTCTGGGCTTCCCGACACTAACAGGCTGCTTAGTTTTCTCGTCACTGTGACTGAGTGCTGACAGAAGGCATTTTCAGGGATGAAGGAGTTAATTCTGGGCTTTAGTGTAGGGGATGTGGTTCTCTCTGGTGGGGAAGGCATGGTGGTAGGGTCAGGAGCCGAGGACAGTCCACACTTAATCCACACCACAGCACAGACGGACTTCCCAGTTGGCAGCCATCGTCCTCCAGGATCCACACGTGATCGAACATGTTTTCTTTTATTCTAGGGGACAGGTAGGCCGTTGCCGGGCGGGGTCAGTGGATAGGCACCTGTAGAAGTGAGATGGAATAGGATGGTTGGCGCCTCAGCATCCGGTGTCTGTAAGTGCAGAGATCAGGGCATGACGACAGGCTCAGGCAGCCTTTGTGCGTGTGGCTCCAGTGGGATCCTTTAGCTATGTGATCCCTCTGGCTGCACTGTATGTACCAGGACGGTCGTTGTCTACTCCCTGAGGCCTCTGCAGCGTCCTGGAACCTGCGTGGGAACTCAGAACAGTTTAGTGACTTAGTGCAGAATGACAGTCCTCCGTCAGCTCCAGCAACCGGTCAGGACCAGTCTGTCAGTCAGGACCAGTCTGTCTGGAAATAGTAGAGCCCTTCCACAGGTTACTTAATGTGTTAATGAAACAGATGCCCTAGCTCAGGGAAGCAAGAAAGAGGTAACCATGTGGATCTCAGTTCCCTGACCTGGGAAAGAGGTGGGCACAGGCCTGAGTTGTGTGTTGTCTATTAGCAGACATGTCCGGTGGGAGCTCTGGTCTCTGGGGAAGAACATATCTGTAGAAAGGACACGCCCCTTTAGAGTAGTTTTAGTACAGTAAAAATCAAAGCTAGACTTTTAATCTTGGTGTTAGTTTCCTGCAGGATCCCAGGTGCTTCTGAGTGTCCCCTGGTTGGTGTCCACCACCTCCACAACCTGAGCTGGTTCAGGACATTTGCTGGTTCTGCAGACACTGTCAGAATGTGTAGGAAGCATTATTTTTTTTTTTCATTTTTGGAGTTGCGTGTGTCGCCGCGTGTGCTGTGGTATCAGACCTGCAGACTCTGTTACAAACCCATGGTGACTGCAGCTTGCCAAGCACATGGCTCCCAGCCACTCATACTTCTTGTTGACTGCTCATGCTCGGAAATCTGCTTATTCTGAGAGCAGTTCCTGAGGTTAAAGGCCTAAGTGTCTTAAAGGATCTCCCCTGAACACAGACGGGGGCTTTCTCGAGAAGTCACCCTTCCCTGGGTTTGACCCCAGGATGTCCCACCTCACCAACTGCCCTGTATGCTTCAGAGTGATCTTGAACCCTGTTTCTTACACACGCTGTAGTTTCACAAAGCCAGAGGCTTCCAGAAACCAGAGCTGTGTGTTCCTAAGTCATGTGAGGTTTTCCCATGACAGCCAGCTGCAGGAGATGGGCAGGGCCATGTGTTTGTTGTCATGTCTCCTGACATGGTATCCTGGGAGCGTGTTGTTTGAATGGATGAACAGCACGTGGATTTCACTACAGCGCAGGATGAGAGTGGCAACCCTCTAGATTGCACTCATTGCTGTCCGGTGCCTCAACTGCCAGTACGTGCAAAAGTAAAAAACACTTCCCGCCATTCTGATTGACCCTGGCTCACGGACTGTCCAGGTAGCATGGGCCTTGTCTTTAGTCCATTCTTCTCATGAAAGCAAAGGATCCTCCTCAGCAGAAACCAGCTCCACATACCAGCCATGTTTCCAAGCTTGTTGCCTCTTCTTATGTCTGGATGCTGATACCAGTCCAGCTACACCGCAGTTTGCTCTTTTCTCACTGATCCACACATTTTTGTTCAGTTGCTTCTTTTGGATAATAATCTAAGAAACTACAGGGTTTAGTTCTCTCTAGTTTGTGTTTTTGTCTCATTTTAAAAGCTTCCCAGATACTGGATTTCATTAGGTTATACTAAAAAAAAAAAAAAAAAATCTTGTAAAAACTTAGCTGCTTAACTTCTGATCGCTCTTGGTTTGTTTCTCCAGAGCCCTGGAAACCAACAGATACAACCACATCACAGCCACTTACTTCTTACTCGCTGAAAGAATCCTGAGAGAAAAGCAAGAGAAGGAAATACAGACCAGGTCTGCAAGCCCCAGCAACATCAAGGCCCAGTTTAGGTGAGAAAATACTTTCATTGATATTAGTAAGTTAATGTTTTGAAATAGGGAGCTGTCTGTTGATGCTTCATAATTCTGCAGGGAGGAGCTTCCTCACCCTCATGGCCATGACAGTTTCCTCCATAGAGGTAACGCCAGGCTCTTCTGCTGTGTGCCGGCTATGCCTCACCTCTTAGGTCCTTAAAGATTTCCTCCCGAGAGCAGTGTGAATTTCCCTTAGTTACTTGGAAGACTTTTAAATGGGGCATTTAGGGATTCAGAGATTAGAGAGCTACTTCAGTTAGTTGATTGATTAGCTATTGGAATCTCAAGAACACATAGCTCTGATTTGTTCGAGTACCACTGTTGACCTCCCGAGGTAAGGAGGGTGGACTCTTGTTGGGGCCACTGACCAGAGCCTTCCCTGAAGTTGACCCTCGGGCTTGGTTGGTGGAGTGAAGCCCACCCTGAGGGTCAGCAGCCCTGGGTTGGAATCAGCCCCCTCCGTGCACACACACACACTCCACCTGCAGTGCTCGCTAGCGGCTTTCCTTCTCTCCCTTTAACGTGTGCTCTTCCCTTGTTGGACTCTCCCGGGTGTCAGCAGGTGTTTGCCAAGGCTGCCCCTGAGTGTTGTGCTTTAAGCTGATGGAGAAGAGCTGAGCCTGCATCCCTACCATGCTGCTCCTCCTTCTCCAGGGCCCGACTGCAGGTCCCTTGCCTTAGCTCCTACCCTGGGCCTCGCTCAGTGCTCTCTGGCTGGCTCTTTTCTCACTTGGTGCCCACTGAAAACCTGCCTGCTCTGCACCTCCAGCAGTGGCCGGGGCAAGTAGTAGTTTTTCCTCCCGTGAAGTTGCTGAGATCTTTTACAACTGCAGTTTTAATTGGTATGAAATGCAGATGTCACTATGAAAATAGCTATCGCGAATGCCTCGACATCTTACACCCTCAGCAGAGGACGGCCAGGAACTCAGGCCCTCTACAGCCTCCCACATGGGACCTCCAGATTGAAAGACAGTGTTTAACAGTTTTGCTCTCCAGTACGCTGTGTGGGGATTTATTCTAGGTGAATCTCATCTGCACTGTGAGCCAGACAGAGTTTGTGTGTGTGTGTGCATGTACATATGTAGATAGTACGTGTGATGAACCTGTGTGCATATGAGTCTGTCCATGTGTTTGTTTGTGAGTATACTGGATATTTGTATGTAGGTGTATATGTGTAGATGATAGCACATGCGTGTGAGCATGTTTGTATGTGCGTGTGTGTAGATGAGCTTGCTGAAGGTATACGGGTGTGTGTGAGCGTGTGTGTAGGTGTACATGGGTGTATGTGTAGACGTGTGTGGTGTTGAGGTTTAGGGAGGGAGAACTTGTGCTACCCCAATATTTGAGTGCCCCATGTTCTTTTCTGGGGGCTGTGGTGTGATGAAGTTGCCACATGTCCCTCTGGTATCCTTGCTGATGGACCTGAACTGCTTTTTACATCTGTGGGTTTCATCCTAGCTCTGTGTGTGTGTGGGCCTGCGTGCTATGGCTGGGTGTGGAGGTTTAAGGATCCCTTAGGTTTTGGTCCTCATCTTCATCTTGTCTGAAACAGGGTTTTCTCTGCCATGTGTACAGGGATTGCTGGCCGATGATTCAGTCTCCATCCACCACCTTGTGATGGTGCTCAGCCTGTCACATCTGACGTGCCGTGGGTGGCCAGGTCCTCACACCTGGGCAGCCAACACTCTACCCACTGAGCTATTTGTCTGTCCAGGACAGGCCAGCTACTACATGACGATTGTCTTTCCTCTGTCACACAGGCAGTCATGGCCAACCAAAATCGATGTGCCCCAAGACCTTGAGGACGACCTCACTGCCACGCCTTTGTCACACGCCACAGTTCCACAGTCTCCTGCTCGGGCTGCTGACAATGTTCTTAATGGCCACAGGAGCAAAGGCCTGTGTGACTCGGCCAAGAAAGACGAGCTCCCGGAGCTGGCGGGGCCAGCACTGCCCACTGTGCCACCCGCGAGCCTGACACCTGCTGCCAGTGGGCGGAAGTGTCTGTTCAGGGTGGAAGAAGATGAGGAGGAGGAGGAGGAAGACAAGAAGCCTGTGTCTCTGTCCACGCAGGTGGTGCTGCGCCGGAAGCCGTCAGTCACGAACCGCCTGACATCCCGCAAGAGTGCCCCGGTGCTCAACCAGATCTTCGAAGAGGGCGAGTCCGACGATGAGTTCGACATGGACGAGAACCTGCCGCCCAAGCTGAGCCGGCTGAAGATGAACATCGCTTCACCAGGCACGGTGCACAAGCGCTACCACCGCAGGAAAAGCCAGGGCCGCGGCTCGAGCTGCAGCAGCTCTGAGACCAGCGATGATGACTCTGAGAGCCGCAGGCGGCTGGACAAGGACAGCGGCTTTGCTTACTCATGGCACCGGCGTGACAGCAGCGAGGGGCCGCCGGGCAGTGAGGGTGATGGCAGCGGCCAGAGCAAGCCTAGCAGTGGTGGTGGGGTGGACAAGACCAGCCCGGGCGAGCAGGGCACGGGCGGTGGCGGCCAGGGTGGCTCAGGCGGGACCCCATCAGGTGCAGCAGGCTCCTCGCGGCGCTGTGCAGGCCCCGACTCCTCCTCATCCTCCCCAGCCTCGGCCTCCGCCGCTCCACGTGGTGCGGAGCTTGTGCAGAGCCTCAAACTTGTGAGCCTGTGCCTAGGCTCCCAGCTGCACGGCGCCAAGTACATTCTGGACCCGCAGAAGGCCTTGTTTTCCAGTGTGAAGGTGCAGGAGAAGTCCACGTGGAAGATGTGCATCAGCACCCCAGGCCCTGGCCCCGCTGCTGACCTGGACCCTGTGAGGACCAAGAAGCTGCGGAACAACGTGCTCCAGCTACCTCTGTGCGAAAAGACCATCTCCGTGAACATCCAGCGCAGCCGCAAGGAAGGGCTGCTCTGCGCCTCCAGCCCTGCCAGTTGCTGCCATGTCATCTGACCTGTAAAGCGCGCTCCGCTCACTTCATTTGTTCTGACGTGACAATGCATGGTCTTTGTGCATGCTGCTACACGCTACTTTTCTTTTCCAGCCGAAAAGTCTACTGTGTGATTTTACATTCATGATTTCAGTGTGGATGACCAGGATGAAATTGTCTATCTGGAACCCAACGTAAACGGAGTGCTTAGAAATTCATGTTCTGCACTTAACCTGGAGGGAAAATGCTTTCGTTTCCTTGTGAAAAGCCCAAATTCCTGTCCTGACCTCCGGTGATAGGGAAACTCCATGCTCTGAGGCACGCTGGTGCCTGAGACAGAACCAAAGCAATAACGTGGTGATGCCCACAGGCCTGGGCGGAGCAACAGCCGCTGCCAGCCCCCCAGGGCCTGTGCACCAAGAACCGAGCCACGGTCTGAGCGCCCACACCTGTTTGTCTTAAGCGATAGTGTGAAAACAGTTGGGGCTCTTACGTTTTCATTGACAAAGATGTTCTTGTTTGTAGTAGGTGAGATCAGCTACTTAGCTTTGTGAGGCAGCTTCCCCTGTAGAATTACAAGGAGACAATCTTTTGTGAGGTGATGAGGTGAACTCTCGTCTTAACTCTTAGAGTGTCTGTCTGTCTGTCTGTCAGAGAGATCAAAAAGAGGCTCTGTAAGTCCCCCTGCAGGACACAGCGGGGTTTCCTTCAAACCTGTGTGGAGAGGAGACACTGGAGTTCCCGCTGCAGTGGTCACAGCGCACACAGATGGCAGCAGAGTCAACACCGACAGTAAAACAGCTTCCTGGAATTGGTTTTTCAGGAGCTTGGTGGTTAGGTGGCCTCTGGTTTCTCCATGCCTTGGCAGCAGCTGACGAGAACGTCTCAGGAAAGGGTAGTGCTCCAAGCCGCCTTCCTGCCGCACACTGACCAGAGTTCTGGTCCCGACTGATAATCCTCTCCCCAGGCATCTTCTCCCTGCACGTCTTCCCTAATCTCGGGAAGCCCAGATGCTGGTTTGGTTTTGTTTTTCACACTGTGAAAGCAGTACATAAGGGACCTGTGGGATGGGTGTCACTGGGCACAGGGTCCTTCCCACACTCTGCCGTTTTCTTTCCTGTAATTCAGAGCGGGCAGGGCACAGGCCAGTCACTTTCGTCAGTGCTCAGACTCAGTCAGCTCCTTTAGGGTTAATGTATATTACTCCGAACTTCACAGTATAACCTGACTATGCTAAGTAAAAGCGATACTTAAGATACTTCCTAGACCTAGGCTAACTGCTTGTGCTTTAAGCTACAGTCCCATTCAGCGTGACATTTATGTAGTTGAAAGTGATGAAGAGAGATGTGTGGGTGAAGCCATAGAACATATTTGCTTGAAATTCTTAAGCAGGGATCTTCAAAGGGCCAGAAACCAGTGTGGTTCACAGAGACAGTGAGAGCCGTGTCTGTGTGAGCAAGGAGAGACGTTTGTAGGGGCATTGCAATAAACTCTGTCGCAGCTGTTTTCCAAGTAATGTACATACTCCTCTGTGGTCACGTCTAGCCTCGGAGTGGCGCCTCTGAACTCAGCCGTATGCGTTTGGTCTCCAGTGGTTTTATATTCAGGTGTATATACGGTGCTCACTTTAGATCAGCAGTGTTGGCCATTTATGCTGCAGAGCTGTATCATAGCCTTATTAGTTGTGTGTGGTTGGTGACCCTCTGGGCACATACATGTCTGTTGAGTGGTGTCTACCCATTCGTTGACAAGTGGATGTCTGTGCATGTGTCCTATGTCCTGGGATGTTGTCACGGGGCAGGAGCAGAACACCATCACACCAATAGTGGACCAAACTACTTCTTGCTCTAACCAGTGACTTGTCCCCTAACCTGTCTTCAGAAGTCACCTAGAGTTACAGTAGTGTATAAATTAAATATTGTGGGAAAAGTTAGTCTTGTATTTTTCTGTGTATATATATATAATTATGTACTTCTGAAATTCTATCTGTATTTAAAGATGTGACAATCTTGACACCAATTTTAATAGTCATGAGACTGAACAAAGATGTCCTACCGAGTCAGAGTTGGTGTGCGCTGAGAACACAAACTCGTTGGCTGATTGGTCATTGCCTCTAGTTCTGACCAGTCTTTCTCCTTGTGTGACATTGACAGGTGTGTGACAGACGGGAAGTGATCAATAATAAAGTGACATACGGTGTTCAGCAATAGTCGCCGAGTCTGTGTGGTTTTCTTGTGAGTGTCGCTCTGTCCGTGTGAGTCCAGCACAAGGCGGTGGAGTTTGCGTCCCATCGCTGAAACCACGGTCCTGGCCGCAGTGTCAGGACGGCAGCCTTTGTGTCGCTGCAGCCCTCTGGACAGGCGACCTCTCTCACTGGTGACGCGCTGGGTCCTGGACAGGCCACCATCTTGAGTCACTGTCACCTCCACTTGCAGAGCCCAGGGGGCTCCTGTCGTGGTGCCCTGTTTGACTATCACACAGGTCCGTGGGTCTTCCAGCATTCAGTGATTTGTGTCACCATTTCCATAATCCATTTTTACACATCCAAAAAGGTCTTTTCTCAATATCCTGTTCCTTAGCCTTCCCGCTGGCCTAGGCTGTCACCATCCGGGGCCCAGCTTCATCCCTGTGAGAATGGTGGCTGGGCTTTCTTCAAGCTGGAAAAGCCCCATTTTCTAGCTAGATCTTTGCTCCTCCCTGCCTCAATATTCACTTTCGCCAACTCATGCGGGGCTCCAAACCACACGCAGCCAGTCTTCCAGACACACCCACCTCTCTGCCAGGGACATATTTCAGTCTCCTCTTCGACTGAACACCTAGACACATCCAGAGAGAATCAGTCTCCAGGCCCCAGACTTGTCCTTGAAATGCCTCCTGTCCATCAGATGGCAGTCGCAGAAGTTCTGTGAACCAGGATTCTTGGTAGCAGCCTGCATCAGAGACCTGTCTCACCCAGCAACAAAATACCTGGCTGGTAGCCTGAGGAAGGCGGGCTTTATTTTGGTTCAGGGCTAAAGTCCACCATGGCAGGGAGGGCATGGAGGCAGGAGCTCGAGGTGACTGGTCATGCACATCTACAACCAGGGAGCAGAGTTGAATGCTGGGCTCAGCTCCCCTTTTATTTGTCCACAGTTGGGGAGGGGGTTTGCCTCAGCTACCCATAAGTCCTCACAGAGCTCCCCAAAGGCTAAGTATAGACAGTCCTCTCAGGTATGGACAGGACTGTCTCCTAGGTGACAGTGGATGCTGTCACTCTGACATGACAGGTCTACCCCCTGCCAACTTGATCTCCAAACAGAAACTTAAAGCCATAGCCTCTTAGCCCTTTCCATTGGTTCATGGCTATCTCAATGCAAAATAATTAGTCCAACTTTAGGAGTCCCCTAGTCTTTAACAGTTCCAACATTATTCAAAAGTCCAGAGCTGTCTTACCTGAGGCTCAAAGTATCTTAGCTGTGAGTGCCTATAAACCAGCTACGTGCTTCCGACATACAGTGGTTCCCAGTGAACGTCCCCATACCTGAAGAGAAGCCTGGGGCTGGTCGTGGGTCCTGCAGCTCCATGCCTGGCAGTGGGGCTTGTGATGGAATCTCGGCTCCAAGGAGCCTCCTGCTCTGCCCCTGCTGCACAGACAGACAGCCTCTCTCAGGCTCTACCCCATTCCTCCACTCTTCCTCAGCAGCAGCTCTGTGCTTCTGGCCATCCTTGGGTTTTGTCTTCACAGCTTCACAGAGCAGCCTTTCGGACCTGGCCTCGGCATGCAGCGTGGACAACGCTGCCAGGTTCTGCTGCCAGCTAGGTACGCAGTTTGGGCCCCTGGACCTGAGCAGGGAACCCCTCCTCCAGGGGCATCCTGAGATGCTGAGCTTACACTCTCTCCAGGGCTCCTTACCTGGAGCACGAGTTTCTCTGTGGGACTCTACTACAGCACTGTTGCTCTGTCTGTGCGTGCTCTTTCTCTGAGACTTTTAAATTTGCCCGAATTTTTCCCCATCAAACTGAATCTTTAAAACCTTTTTGCCTAGTTTGTACTGGTTTTTCACTCTGGGTCTGTATTAACGGTGGTAAAGCTGCCAGGCCATAGCCTGAATGCTCTGTGTTCTTGAACTTTCCTCCATCAAACACATCAGTCCGTATCCTTACCTGCACTGCAGGTCTTGGGAGATGGATAGAACAAGAATGAATGCTTTGCTAGAATATAATTTGAACGGTCTCCAGCCCCGTTCCTAAGAGTCCTTGTCCCCCTGTAGCCTCATGAAGGGGCCTCCACATGCCCTCAGTATGCCTGTCTTCCAGGTTCCTTCCAGAATAGCCCGTTGATCTCTGCCTACGGAATTTCCTGGCCCAAAGTTCCAGACTCGCCTTCCTCTCACAGAGCAGTCGGCACACTGTCAGGTGGACCGTAGCAACGAGCCCACTTCTCAGCCCTGGTTTTCTGTAGTCACCTGGCATTCATTGCTCTCTAGGCTCCTCTGGATCCTAGACTGTGTTAACAATCAATTACATCACACGCCTCTCTTTCATCCCACATCCCATAACAATTACATCACACGCCTCTGTCATCCCGCATCCCATAACAATACCATCACACGCCTCTCTATCATCCCTCATCCCATGAATGTGTGATGTTCTTCGCTTGCCCTTTGTGGTCGCTCGGGTCTGTGACTCTACCGTCACCCTGACAGTTCCTTCAGGTTTCTATTTCTCTAGTTTTTTTCTCTACTCAGAAATGTGAGATCCTTTTAAACTAAACCACAGGGATGGAGAAATGACACTGTGGTTAGGAGCACTGACTGCTCTTGCAGACGACTGGGTTCCTAGCACCCGGTACACGGTGGTTCTCAACCATCAGTGACTCCAATTCTAGAGGACCCAACATCCCCTTCTGGCCTCCTTGGATAAGACACCCACATGGTGTGAAGAAACACATGTAGGCAAATACTTCATACACATAAAAATAAATCTTTAAACTGTGATGTTTTATGAAGTGCTTAATTTTCAAGTATGGTGATTTCCCATGACAGGCCCTGCTGAATTTTCTAGCTGGATTCTGTCTTTTCATCAGAATGCAATCACTTCAGTCTTTGGAAATGTATAAGACTTGGTAAATGTTCTGTGAGCACCTTTGGGTGTCCCGCACCTCAGTTGGTTCTTCGCCCCATCCTTCCCTGTCCTCTGTCAGCTCACCTGTTCCACGTTGCCCCCTTACCTGAGGACATGGCTGGCCTGGCAGAGGCTCCAGATTGTTGGGTCCCCTTCTCCTCAGACCACCCTTGAGTGGAACATGGAGTCCCCCAGGGCCCATGCCATCAGGTCACTGGTGGAAACACTGCATGGTCCTCAGAGGCTGCAGGCTTTGTAAACTCCAAGCCTGTCTGGCCTTCATCCTGTGATCTTTAGCCTTTTCCCTGGTACTTGTTTCCTGCTGGAAGGAGGCAGGCAGGAGCTGCAGGGCTTTGCTGGGAAGGAGATCTGTGAGGTGGGGGGGGGGGGCTATGGGAAATGCACCATCCTGGTAGCTGGCAAAGGGCGGGTCTCTCAAGGTCTGTGTACCGGCTTCCTTGCCCATCGAATGGAGCCAGTGTAAGGGAAGTGGTGGGGGGAGGGGGGTGGTGGGTTGGATTTCTACTTTGAAGCCTGGCTGGGTTTCTTTCGAAGTTTGTTCTGAGTCTGAGATACTTAGCTGCTAGGAGGGGTTAATAGTGTGCCATAGATAGACACATACAAACGGAAAAGGGGGTGGGGGATACCCTACCTGACACTCTTCCTTCCCTAGGGCCGCCTGGGGCTGCTGGCACAGGTATTGTCTGCCTTGGAGCCAACACGGGGTGCTCTGGCTTGTATTGGAACGCCCACTGGAGCTCCAGGGAAGGGTGTGAGGGCGGTGCCTGCGGTGTCTGTGGCTCAGAACCAGAGCTGGCCATGCACCTCAGGCTATGGAGTTTGACTGTGAGTGACTGGGCCTAGGGCCAACCCCATTGCCCTCCAGTTCTGACCAGTGGGACTTGGTGGCAGTTGTATCTTGCACTGGAGGGAGGAACCAGCCCTCCAAACCTTCCTATGGCAAAGTGAGGCCCAGGCTCAACAGCCTCTGGGACGTAGGTTAGGTCTCCCTGAGCCTGGAACCCTGGATACAGCCCTGCCCGCTTCTGGAAGCTGCTGGTACGAGGACTTAGCTGCCCCTGGAGCCCCTCCCTCCTGGTGAGGGCTGCACCCAGGCTCAGCTCCATGTCATGCTTTATGTCTGTCTTGCTGGGAAGCCTTCCAGCAGGGCCTGTGGGACCAGGCTTGTGTGAGAGACTGAGCTGACACTTGGCTCCCTTGGGCCTGGGGCTCTTGAAGCCAAGGTTCTTTTCCCACAATTGGCCTATGCAGTGTGCCTCCCAGTGACCTTTGTGGAAGCATCTGGATGGTGAGGAGAAGACCAGTGTGGTGTCCAAAGGCTCCTCTCATTTCCCAGGGTGGAGCTTCCCCTTTTCCTCCTTGGGCCTCAACCACCCCACTCTGAGGAAAATGGTTTGAATTCTATTCTGGCCTTTATAGGCCCGTCCCTGGTAGCCACCACTGCCCTGGGCACTGACTCATGGTACTCCTTATCCCGCCAGGCAGGGGCTGACATCACGTCGTCTGAGCAGTTGAGAAGAGCTGGAGTCCCGCAGCTCTTGGTAATCAGGATGGTCAAGAAACTGGAAGCAGAGGGTGACCACCCAAGGGCTCCTCAGCAGCCAGGGAGAATGGCAGATGGGACGGTTTCTCCTCGGGGTGAGTCATCATGGGGGCTTAGGGTGGCAGGTGGAGTGGGGTAGGGACCCCCAGGCCCACAGGGCAATGCCATGGCTCGTCTGAGGCATGAGTGACACCAGCAATGAATAGGCTGGTGGATCAACATGGCTCGTCTGAGGCATGAGTGACACCAGCAATGAATAGGCTGGTGGATCAGTGACCAGGACATTAGCGGGAAATGAGGTGAAGTGGGTGAGGGGTCAAGAGGGTGTGGCCCGGCGGGGTGGGGCAGGGTGCAGGGTGGGACAGCACCTTCCCAAAGACACCAGGATGGGGAACAGCTAGAGGGTCACCCACACCTTCTTTCATTCAAACCACAGTGTCTCGAACAGCTGTTGTGTACAACAGACCACCCATGTGCTCAGTCCTGGGGAAACTTACAGCCCGGCCAGTCTGTCAGACCAACACCTGCTGTGCTCCTAAATCCATCTTCTCCGTGGTCACAGGCCCAGGGCAGGCTCCTGTTCTCCCTGGTGCCAAGCAAGTGGGAACACAGGGACATGGGTCATGAGCACAGGGAAGCCTGGCCAGGTTCGCACAGCCCCTGGCAGAGGGGAATCCACCAGCAAAGGTGGCAGCTGAGGCCACATGTGGGCAGAGGAGTCACTGGTTCACAGCCAGCCTGTTCCTGTGACTGATCCCCTGGTTCAGGCTCTGTGGGGGACCAGGAGCCAGGGCCAGGGCCTCAATTTGAATTCTTTCCTTTCCCAGCATGTGCAAGAGCCCAGAATGGACTAAGGGGAAGACCTTGGGGTCCCAGGGCTTAGGTCTTCTTTGGTGCCTGCCATTTTCTGGCTGTTTAAAATGTGAGCCTCATCTAGGAAGTTCCATCAGGAACCCCACAAAACTCACTGCAGTACCATGACCTGAAGTGTCTCTGCTTCCAAGATTAGACAAAAGCCGAAGCAGGGCTCCTAAAAACAAGTGATCCTGAGCCAGCTGCCACCTCTTCTCTGGTAAAGTGGGGCACGCAGGTGCAGCCCCCTGAGCTGTGTAGAGCAGGCTATCCCAGCTCTTGCTGACCCCCCTCTGCCAAGTTGTGTGGAGCAGGCTATCCCAGCTCTTGCCGACACCTGAGCTGTGTAGAGCAGGCTATCCCAGCTCTTGCTGGGGAAGAGCTCACGGGCCAGCAAGGACATCAGCGCCCACTCTTGGAGACCTTGCTTCCCAGGTGGGCTGTCCCACTCGAATCAGTGAACGCTGCAGGCTCAGCTGGGATGGCCGACATCACCCTGGCACTAACACCCTCTGCTGCAGGTCCCCGCCCACACCAGGCTTCCCTTGGGTGTCAGCAGCAGCAGTGTCCCCAGAAAACCTGGGCCTGGCTGGGAGCTTTGAGGCTTCTCTTGGCTCCTGGGATCCCCACGGCACCACCTAGCTCTGGGGGCAGCTGAAGCGTCTGTAGAGTCTGGGAGGGAGTTGGAGTCGGGTGAGGGCCGCCTTTAATAAGTTACAGTCAGTCAACACACTGCCATAGAGAACCAAGAGGAGCTCAGGTGGGGGGACCTCTCAGCATGGATCCTGAGAATTGGTATAGTAGGCACAGACCCTAAGCCACCACCCCACCGTGGGCCCTGTGAATGCCATGTGGAAAGCTGGGGACTCCATAGGGATGAAGGTCAAGGGCAGCCAAGGCCCTGGAGCAAAGTGAGGCCCTGGGAGGGTCCAGATGAGAGGGCACCAGGGAGCCACCAAGGGTCCCAGCCTCTTCTCCCACAGAACCAGTCCTTGCAGGGACTGGGTGCCCGCTGTGTCCGTCACTTCACACAGCCCAGAACCTGGCCCAAGTTCAGGTGGTACCCCGCCCTGTGCAGGTGTGATGCAGGTGTTCCTCAGGACAGGCTGGGGACAGGACGGCCAGCGCTCTGGGGCTCAGGTAGCTTCCCTTCTGTCTTCCTGGGACTCCTCCTTCAGGTTTTCCGCCACCAGTTTCATTTGCTGTTGAGAGAACACAGGGCACCAGGTGAACCATGGAGATCCAAGTGGTGGCACCGACGGGACAGAGGCCCACAGAGGAGTGAACCCCAGGAAGGAGGTGCCCCTCGGCCACTGCCCACGGCTTGCTTTCTGCATTCCTCACCAGGCTGGAGGGAATGACTGGTATAGGCAGAATGCTCCCGTGAGCCCGGATACTGGGGACCTCAGAAAAGACAGGACAGAAAAAGTGAGGCCAGGTCTTTACCCTGTCCTTATGAGCTGAGAGACTCCGGGTTCCAGGCAGGTGCAGCACCTTTCTCAGGTCCTGCGTCCACAGCCACAGGGCTGCCTTGCACAGCACCCACAGCCTCCCTGGGGACACCTCCTCCTGCAGCATGGGAGAGCATGGCCTCCTCAGCTCTGCCCACCTGCTAGTCAGTGAGCACACACTGAAATGTGGCTCAAAGCAGAGGATGCTGGTGACAGCCTTGGCCCACGCATCAACAGTGCTGGCCTGCATGTGCCACACTGTGCCCTGGGCCTTCGGGTTGACATGCGCAGGCAAAAGTGCCCTCCCAAGGCCCCAGATCTATGGACCTTGCTTCTCTGAGGGCTACTGCCCCTTGTAGCCTGGTCTGTCTCCTTCCACATGATCCAAAGATGGCTCTGGAGGCTCCCTCGCCCTGTGTTCCTCCACCCAGGGACAGAGCAGCTTTAGGTGGGGGAGAGGCAGGTAGTGCAGGGCATGTGTTTCCTGAAATTAGAACCTGCATAGACATCAGGCAGCACAACAGAGTTGACCTTTCCCTATGAAGTATCAGCAGAGTGAAGAAGCAATGGATTTAACTTGTGACTCATCCAAACACTCACCACCCAAATGGTCCTCTGCCTAAGCTAAGCCTGGGGGAGCTGTGTAGCCGGGTGTCCCCCTCCCCACACCGTGAGGAACTACAGGAAGATTCCCCCAGACCTGGGATGGCTACAGCAGACCCTGCTCAATCAGCCCCCCTGGCCTCCTGTACTCAGACTCCTCCCTAGCTAAGCCCACACTAAAATTTCAGGACCCCTCTGTTAGAAGTGCTTGAAAGTTTGCTTCCTGTCAGATATTGCCAGGCTTAAAATCTCTCTGCACCTGAACCCTGGGCCCAACAATCGCACTCGGAAGGAGCCTGAGCAACCCTAGGCTGTGGCTACATGGAGCTGGGCATCTGGTCTCCAGGACCTGGGTGAACAGCGGACACTGTAGGAGGTTCCTGAGGTGGCTTCCCTGGTTGAGCTGTGACATCTGGCTCCCCTTCAAGGCTTCCCAGGAGCAAGGACGGTGGCCTGGGATAGCATGATTCCAGTTCACACTTGCTCAATGCTCACCTCAGTCCTGGTTTAACCGGTCTGATTCCAGTTCACACTCGCTCAATGCTCACCTCAGTCCTGGTCTGTTGTAGCTGTCAAAATGGCAGCTAGTCAGTATTCTAGATTAGACACCACACACCCACCCTGGGAGCAGGGTGACAGGGTGCCTGCCTCTGAGGTGCTGACCTTCTCGCACCTGGAGCACAGCCCAGAGCTGGGAGCGAGCAGACCGAAGAGGAGGTGAGCAGTGTGCCATGGAACAACCGCCCTGCTCGTCCTTCACGTGGCTGCCGGCAGCACCCCTTTCTCCCACTAGTTGCTGATAAGTTTGCTTCTCTGATCCACCCATTTCCCGCTTCCCCTGGAGGAGGCCCAGGGTGGCACTGGGGAATTGACATGATCTCAGGGGACAGTTTTCACACTGAGAGTGGCAAACCCTGAAAACAGGCATCCTGTTTATAATGCTCTCTTGGGCAAACAGTTCAAGAGTGTATCTTCACAACTTAAATTCTGGTATCGTTTCAAAGGCACAAACTGCCGACGTAGTGCGAGGAGCCCCACCCTCCGCACGTGGATGTGCCTGCCAGCCTCGTGCTCCATTCATTGCATCCTGAACCCACTAAGTGAGTCACCACCGCGGCTACACCCACTACATGGGTTGGTGTAGAATCTGAAAACCGAGACTTTTATATTCACAAGGAATTGTTCACCTAGTGACTCTTAACAGCGGAATAATAACTCCTACAGTATTACACTTTCCACACTGTCGGAATTCAGAAGGTAAAGAACAAAACAGAACAAATGTGAGGCCAGGTGTGGCACACAGCCATGGACCAGCACTAGGGAAACTGAGGCAAAAGGGTGGAGCGTTCAAGGCCAGCCTTATTACATAGCATGACCCTGCCCCCAAAACAACCAAAAAAAAAAACCCCACACCAAACTAAACAAACCAGACACACACACACACACACTCCAGACCAATATCCCTGAAGTCACCCTGCAGAAGAAGGACCCAGGAAGACTGAGAGCCGCTACATTAGTTCCCGTGGTGAACTGGCTGGAACAAACAGGATCCCCTGAGGACTGGTCCCCACAGCTAGGTTTTTAGGACATGGGTCATGCGTCCCTCATGATTCTCATGACCTGGCCCTGGGGTTCAAGGCTTTGCAAAGCCTCCTCTCCTGCAGTGCGAGCCAGACCAAGCCACTTACTTTTAACCTAGAAAAAGTGAGATACGCACAGTGGGTCCCGAGACACTGGGCTGTGTCCTAAGTCCCTTGCCGCCCTCCTGCCTGCTCTTACCAGACAAATGCACAGATACTTCCGTCCACTTGGGGTGTTTTCTTCTTTCTAGGTCCAAAAGCCTCTTCAGATCACCTCCTGACCTTATTAATTCAATGAAATGGCTCCCAATAAGGTAACTTGCCCTGCCAAGGCCACACTAGGAGGGACCTGAAGCCTGCCTTCCACCAGTTCTCCTGAAGCAAAGCATGGCTCCAGTTGAGGGGATACTGTCCCAAAGCAGGACCCCCAAACCAAAGCAGGTTTGGCCCACGTGATAAGAAAGGTCTTCAGATTTGGTGACAGCAGCTCCTGCCGTCTGTGCTCGGCCCTGAGACCACTGACCCCTCCTCTCCTAACTCCGTGAGGTGGGTGCCATTATTGTTTCTCTGCTTTAGAGGGACAGTGTTTGGCCTCAGTCTCAGAGAAAGCCCACCCTCCTGAATGCCCTGGTGGAGAAACTCTGGTCTGGGACTCACCCGCCATGTCAGGCATGCTCCACAGTCTGAGGCCTCACTGTGGCCTGGGAGTCTGACACATGGCAGGTGTGGGATTCACCTAGACCCTGAATCAGAATCTCCATTTTAACAAGATTCTCAGAGTCTTTAGGCCGACTGCCCAAAGGGCACTAAGAAGTCCTATACCCTGCCAGGGTCCCCGAGTCCCTCAGTGTGGAGTCTGGAGCCCAGCAGGGAGGAGTGAGGCTGAGGGCCTGTGCCCAGGAACTCCCTGGGAACACAGGGCCAGGTTTGGCTCTGCAGCAACCTGGAGCCTGGAGAAGAAGCCTGTGGTGGTGGTGGCCTGAGACAGGCTGATCTCAGAGTCTGAGGCCAGCCTGGTCTACAGAGTGAGTTCCAGGACAGCCAGGGGTACATAGAGAGACCCTGACCAGGAAGACAAGAAGCAAGCAGACAGACAGGCGGAGGAGTGTGTCAGTGTCAGCGCAGCAGGGAGGTCTCTAAGCAGGGTGTAGAAACAGAGGAAGCCACGGTCAGTGTGGGCAATGGGGCCACACACCTGCCTCACTCAGGCTTCCTTCCCTTTCCTTCCTGTTTTCTTTCTCTGTTTCCAAATTCTCTCCCTTCCTTTTTTTACTTTTGTGACTGATGAAGAAAATTAAAATGAAATACAAGATGTCAGGTTTTGGTCTGGCTGACTTTAACTAGTTCTGGTCTGGCTACTCCTGGAGCCTGCCTGCTCTTCCTTCTCTCTGCAGGCACCTGCACTCGAAAGCCTCCAGTTTCCCGCTTTTCTTGTTGGATGTGCCCCACCATTCTGTCTTCAGGTTCAGGTTTTCCCCACTGTGCGCACAACTTCCTCAGAACAAAGCCGCTGCTCCAGCTGCTTGCCCCCTGGTGGTAAAAGCCCACATTTTTCACTTCTTTCACACCATCAGGGACCTTCCCTGTCAGTGAGCCCTGGATGATGGTGTTCAAGTGAGGGTCTGCCGGGTTCCCCCTCCTCTGTCTTTGGAGATGGGCTGAGTGTATGCTGCCGGGAGCAGCGGAAGCCACTTGGAGACCTGATGAAGCGAGCATGTCAAGGCCGTCTGGACGTGACCACAGAAAGAGCCTGCCGAGGCCCTGAATGGCACTGCTCAGCTGCTCTCCAGACCTGCGCAGGGCTGCTGTGTGTACTTGTTTCCAGTCAGGTTTGCCCAATGGTTTTAACTCTTTATATGGAAACCACCCAGAGTTATTCCAGGCTGTCAAAGCCCTAAAACCTCTCATTCTTCTGGAAATTACTGGGTGCCCTCCCTACTGAGCCTGTAGGCACAGAATCCACGGAGTGGGAAGGCCTGTCTGGGCACTGTGCTGTTCCTGCCCACATCAGAACATGAAAGCCCCCAGTCACACTGCCGGCTTTGCCAAGCCCGTCCTGGGGACTCCGAGATGCTGTCTACTCACTGGTCTTGAGCCTGGCTTAGAAGCCTAAGCGCTCTTTGCTGTCTGTTCAATGGAGCTGTTTTTCTCCGGGGCCCCTTTCCTGCGGGTTAAGTACTTCTGGTCCTCACTAGTGAGCGGGGTGCCCCCACCCAGATAAAGCCCGGCTCAGCACCCTCCCCTCCCACTCAGCCTTACCAGCAGGCTGCGTTCCCAGGGGCAGCAGCCAAGCACAAACTCTCTCCCACCCCATTTGTCAGAGCTGAGGTAGACTGGCAGAGGGGCTGTCAACTCTGGAAATCCCGCCAGGAGCCAGCTGCCCTCCCCTTTTGTCCCTGTCCCCAGACAGGCCTTAGTGGTCATGCCCAGGCTCCCTCCAGCAGCAGGGGTTGTGGTCCTCTCTCTTTGTCCCTCACAGTAGTTCTGGAGTTTTCTCTTTCCCTGTGTAGAATTCTTCTTCCCTGGCCTCTTGACCCTCAGCCTCAGGATGTTTGTTTTCCTGGCTTC